TTGTTAATTTTTTCTACTATTTAGTAAACATTACTTACGAATTTATTTTTACAAGAAAACCTGCAAGAAACAAAATAAAATTCTTACAACATTTTCTACAAATTTTTACCATGAAAAAATATTTCTATGACCTTTAAAATTGTAGCAAAATTTGCAAAAAAAAAATTATAGATTATTTTTCATAAAAAAATTTGTAAGAAATTTCTGTAAATTATTTTTTGTAATTAAATTTACAAAAAAAATTGTAAAATTATTATTACAAGAAAATTTGTAAAAAAAAATCTGCAAATATTTTTTAAAAAAATAACATTTTTCTAATAGTGACTAGTTAGTAAAAAGATTATGACATATCATTAAATCTTTACTTCTTATAATTTGACATTAATTAATCTTGAACACAATATCTACATATTTGGCGAAAGAAAATTCATGTTAAATTAAGTATTAATTATGATAAATTTTAAATGTGTTAAAAATAAAAATAAAAGTTTTTTTTAGGGGATAAAAAAATTTAACTCGATTTAACTTTTTAGCTATAATCCATAGTATCTCCGCGATAAAGGGTTTATCTAGACCCACAATTAAGTTCTCGATGTCTTACGTTATAGACGCAACTTTGTCCTCTCTCTGTACCTTCCTTTTTTGTTTTTATATTCTTGTATTTATGATGATGAAGACGTGTGATTTGTCTCGGTGGTAGTTTATACTTTATAGACAAAGGACGGGTTTTTGTTTCCACTATATGGACCTTCCTTTACTAAATTGTTGGCAAGAGTAAATTATTTTAAAAGAAGAACTGTCATTTTAAACATTTTTTTTATTAATTGAAATTCATAAAATTTAGTCGGTCTTATTTTTATTTAATGATTTTTTTTATAATTTTTAATAAATTTTGATTAATAAAATTATAAATTTTTAGTAATTTTCAAAAATAAAATTATAAATTTTGAGTAATTATTTTATAAATAAATTAAAATAATTTTTTTTTATTATATCTGTTTTCTATATTTAAATTAAAAATAGACATAAGGAATGTGTATCCTATCAGTGTCTTGTACGTTGCCCAATGTAGCTGAAGTCTATCCAATGTGCTGAGTTGCGCCACCCAATGAGTATGCAGATTCCTCCATGATCTACACTTGTATTGGGTTTAAATATAGATTGAGATAGGATTTGAGTACAATAACTATCAGCACCGACAGACATAGAAAATTTGTTAAATAGGAATAAAATATTTTATAATATTTTTATTAAAATATAATAACTTTTTAGAAAAGTATATTTTTGTGATAATTTTTTTTTTAATATATTATTTTTTATAAATTAAAAATTTCATGAAAAGGTTTTCACAAAAAGTTTTTAAGGTGTAAGATTGGTGTAAGGCTTAAGTGTACAAAGTGATCTATCAAGGGAGGTGGACTACTAAGAATCAGTTAAAAACCAAGCATTTTCAAGTAAAAATCACTAAGCCCTTTGACACTTTTCTTACAAAAGAATTTTTTTTGCACAAGAATTAGGTGTGTGTGTGCACGGCCCCCTAGTAGGCAAACTTGTAGCCTTCTAAAACGAACAAGTAAGATAAAGAAAACCTAAGCAATTATACTACCAAAGCTATAAATCATGCAAATAAAAGCAACTTAAAGCATGTGCTAGTCGGATTCCCTTGGTGGGAACCACTTGTATCCTTAGAAGAACTGACCTGCACAACCCCGACACCTGCCACTCCCTCAATGTCGGCCATTACAACGTACCTTGAGCTGATTCGGTGTTGGTAAGTAGTCTTGGTTCGGAGTGCTCAACCTAGTCCTTGATATCGGCTCGGAGCAAGTGAACAATGTAGGTGTGCATTGATCCCCACCACACGCCTATTTATAGCATTTATGAGAAGAGAATTCCAAACGACGCACCCTTTCAACCGTTGGATCAGATTGATCCAACGGTCATAAGTCAACACCTCTTCACATCCCCTTCAAATTCGTTCCCTTAAACGCTCAACGGTTATAACCCCAGGAACACCTTGGCACCCCCTCACGTTCTAACACCCAACCGTCACGGATGAAGAGCCAAGTCTACCCTTTACGTCGCTTCGCTCCTCAAGGCTGGGGGGCTTGTGTACCGGAAGGGTCCTATCAACCACGTGGAATGGCACGTGCCCCCGTATCGGCCACTGAGATGGCTGAAACATAAGATGTTTACGCACTAGCCTCGGCCATCTCGATCGCCGATATGACCGGACCATAAAGATAGCTAGTTCGACATGTCTCTCGGACACGACAATGGTCGTGATAGCAAACCTACGAGACCATCAAAAGCATGGCCAGAATAACGAAACTTGCTGGCCTTCTTAACAACGTCTCGGCTCGGCAAGAGGCCGAAACCCGAAAATGCAACCCTGATCTTATACCTCTCGGCTCAGCTAGTGGTTGATAAGACCAAACAAGGATTAAGACGACAATTATGATTAACAAGGACAAACACGTGATTAAGACATAATCAGTCGATTAGCACCGTATTACCTAATTTGGTAAGTGTCAGAAGAGGCCCACCACATTCAGGGCTCATCACAAGTAGTATAAATAGGTCACGTAAAATGAGGTATGTCACTGTTCATTTATTATTATCGAGATTCGTGCTTATCCTTACTTGAGCGTCAGAGTACCTTTTGCAGGTACCTCCCCCTTATGAAGCATCCGCTCAGAGCTCTCATTCGACCCTCAAATTACTAGAAAATTACGAGTGTACCTTTAAACAGGCATACATCTACAATTTGTAATTTTGGATTTTTGGGAATCTTAGAGTCTCCTAATTGTCCTTAAACTTCCAATACAAATAGACATATTAATTTATCTCGCTATTAGACTGAAATTTTTCATATTTTTAGAAACATTCATTTCAAGTTTAAATATTATAAAAATTAAAACATGACAAAACGACTAAGGATTAGACTGCATAAAATAATAATTTAAAAGATTAAATATATTTTACTTTTTAACAATATATCAACATATTATATCTATAGTATATATGAAAATTATCATATCTTGTGTCATTATTTAATAAATTTTTTAATAAATTAATATAATATATATATATATATAAATGAAAAATAGAAAAATTTATTATAAATTTAATTAGAATAATATACGCATATTCTTATAATATAGCCTTATAAATAAAAAAGTCAAAATCATCTGGTTGAATAAGTAATTATTAATTTAATTATTGATCAATCACTTAATGCTTTAAATGAGTCGACAGTGATCTAAGTTTCAAATCAGTGTATAGTGAATTATAATACATATGATAATACTTAAATTTAAATCTTTTGTTTGTTCAACAAAAATAAAAACTACTAATTAAAACAAATTATAAAAGAATCTCCACTTATATTATAAATTAAAATATTTAACATAGATATTGAAATTGTCGCTCCTTATTTTTTTAATTAGGAATTCATAATACACACTCTTTCATTTCTATGGGAAGTGCATTTCATATATAATTTTCTCACCATCTATTCGATTTAATTTAAAAATAACCTTATATTTAAAGTCATTATTTATTATGAATTTTAATATTAATATAAGTTAAAATAATTATTTATTATAATTATAAGTATAAAAATATAAAAATAAATATTTATCTTGTATATAATGAATATCAAGTTAAAAATAAAATTTAATATATTAATGAAGAAAAAATACATATAATAATATTTGATTAATGATAGACTATTACATAACAATAAATTCAAAAAAAAATGTGAAACATCTTTTTAAAACTGGTTAAAATTATATTATTTGTTTAATATAATAACATGCATCATTTTTCATAAAATTTTATATCTAAATTTTATGTAATCATTTTTTTATACAATAGTATAAGTTTATGTTTTACTACTTAAAATAATAATATACATTTATTTCACAAAAAATGTTGTAACATACTTATAGGAGCGTAAACGGGTTGGGTTGAGCCGAATTTAGATAAACCTGTTACATGTTTCAATTAAAATTTAACGGGTTAGATTGGGTCGAGTTTGTGTAATTTTTTTAAAAACTCAATCCAATCCAACCCAATCATGAACGAGTTGGGTTGAATTGGATTAGTTGAGACAAAATAATTAAATTTATTTATTTATTATAAAAATTTAAATGTTTCAAAATAGATGTAAATCATTTGATACATTGTTATAAATACAATGTCTCAACCTATAAAACAAACAATAATACACATTTAATTTTAAAATAAATTTATTAATTTGTTATATTATTATCAACTAAAAAAACAAACATTAACTAATACAAAATAAAATTTAAAATAAATATATTATATTATTATAATTTTAGGTTTTTTTTTATAATATATTATTTTTAATTTTTATTTACGTAAATAACCTATCTTCTATATTATAAAAGATAGGTTATTTACTTTTTTTTCTTTTTTATATCTAATTTTTTTAATTTTTTAAAAATTAATTAAATTATATTGAAAATTTAAATATAACTATTTCAATATTTTTAATTAATTTAAGTATTTAAATTTTATTTAATAAATATAGATATTTTAATATTTTTAATTATTTTAATAATGCAAGTTGAGAAATTCTCATCATATATAGTAAATTGATATATTTAGGTAAATAAAATGAAAGATAAGTTATTGATGTAAATAAAAATTAAAAATAATATATTAAAAAAATAAGTTATTGACCTAAATAAAATTAAAAATAATATATTAAAAAAAAGTTTACAATTATATTAACTTAAAATATAAAATTCATTATTAGGTAAGCGTGATAATAAATATTATGTTTAACAAATAATCATTTAATTATTACTATTATTATTATTGACCAGGTTGAGTCAGGTTCGTTATTGAAATATTTAAAAAATCTGATCCGAATTCATGTTGGATCGGTTCGGATTCGCACCTATACATAATTACTTATTCGTTCTATAAATATGGTTCCCTCAGTCTCTCAAAATTTCAAAATTAACAAGAACTAAGAGACTTAATATTTAATTGAGAGATATTTTGAGTTGTGAGGTACCCCACAATTTCAATCATATTCATTCATCTCTACTAGTACGGGCAGTTAAAGGGAAGACACTCGTTTTCAACCTCAAACTCTTACCGAGGAAGAATGAATGAAAAACACTAAGCATCATCATCTTCTTCTTCTACTTCCTCTTCTTGTGACCAGAACTTTGTTCATCGGTAAACAATGAAGGAGTTGATTCTTGTTGCAGCTCTGTTGACAATAGAGTTGTTGGACGTGATCGTGTACACTGTAAGCAAAGCAGCAATGAGAGAGGGCATGAATGACTTCGTCTTTGTCATGTATTCCAATGCCTTTGCAGCATGCTTCCTTCTTCCCATCACCTTTTTCTTCTATAGGTATCTTGTCTCATCAAAATTTCTTTCATTTACACAAAAATACATACTCTTAACTTAACTTTCTCTTTTTCACTTCCCAGGAAAACACCTCTTCCACCACTCACATATTGCATACTTGCCCAATTATTCATTAATTCCCTTTTAAGGTACTAAGTCTAAGTCTTTACTTCATCCACACTTCATGCTTGTTCTTTTTCTAATCTCTTCTGGATTTTGGTCTCTTGCAGTTGCAGTGTTCAGATGCTCAGGTATCTTGGAATAGGTTACAGTACTCCTACTTTGGCCACAGCTATGTCTGATTTAATCCCAGCTTTTACCTTCATACTTGCCATTCTCTTCAGGTTGCTATTACTTCTCTTATTTCTAACTTTTGTTTTCACTTGCTACACTTATCTTAATTAAGAAACCTGAGATCTCAGTAATGAACCCCTTGCTAATTATGGCAGTCATAAGTTCAAAGATGTTAAATTGGAATGCCTTATAGTAAGTTTTGCATAATTTTGTAGGCTAATTCTCAAACTTATATTTTTGGTAATTGTCGATACAGGATGGAAAAATTGAATTGGAAAGCTAATAGCACTCAGGCCAAGTCCATTGGCACACTCGTATCAATCACTGGAGCTTTCATAATTACTCTATACAGAGGCCAGGCCATCATAAATAATCATCCATCTTTACACTTGTCTTCTAATAAACTTGGTTCATCTGAGCAATTTCACTGGATAATAGGGGCAGTGTTGCTTGCGACTCATAGCTTTGTTCTCTCTTTATTGTTTATAGTTCAGGTAGCCAATGTTAATCTGAAACACCCTTTTGGCATATTTGCAAACAAGAAAAACAAAATATTGATTCTACTTTAACTTTCTTTCATATATTTGTAGACATGGATAATCAGAAATTACCCTGCAGAGCTTGTGATAGTACTCACTCGAGCTATAATAGTCTTTATGATATCTCTTCCGGTTTCACTGATTTCAGTAAAGGATCCAAAAGCTTTGAGACTGGGATTTAATGTGCAGTTGGTAGCTATTATATGTGCAGTAAGTATAGAGAGATTGGTACTATTTTCTATATCAGCATGAGATGAGTTCTTCTTAATTTTAATTAACTTAATCTGCTTCTGAATATTCGTAGGCAATTTTTACTGTATCACTTCGAAGTATTGTTCATATATTGGTCATGGAAAAGAAGGGCCCTCTCTATGTTGCAATGTTTAAGCCAATTGGAATAATTTTTGCGGTCATCTTGGGTATTACTTTTCTTGGAGATTCTCTCTATTTTGGAAGGTATAAATTTCTTTCATGTGTCTTAATCATGAAAATATTGGAGGTGTGTCCACTTATGGTTTAAGGGAAACATTTTGTTTGCATGTGAGTGATGGTATTAGAAAACAGGAAGAGGTTTGTTTAAAGCAGTTGAAATTCGGTACTGCATTTAGTTTAGAACTTTAGAAGCAAGACTTGCATGCAAATGCAAGTTTACGCTTTCACCGACTCATGCTTTGTTGGTTAATCAAAATTTGATTAGTTACAACTTTTTAGCATTTGCAAGGAAATTCATTTTCAGATTTACTATCTATTATTTACAAGCATTTTCTAGCACAAGCTTATAGTGTCTAGATTTTTTTTCTCTTATTGTACAACTTGCGCCATCTCTTAATAGTGAGTGAATGCAATTTAAAAAAATACTTTAGTCTTAGAAGGAGTACAATAATGAAAATTTGGCCTTGTTTATGTACAGTGTAATTGGAGCAGCAGTAGTGGTTATTGGTTTTTATGCCGTTATTTGGGGGAAAAGCAAAGAGAAAGCAGAGGAAGAGTGTGAAATGTATACCTCGGCATCGTGCTCAACTGTGGTCCCTCTTTTGCAGAACAAGAAAATTGAGGAGTAGAATTCTGAGGCAATGATAATAATGGAACCAAATATTTTAATATCCTTGTTATTACTTTCAACTTGGCCCGCTATTAGAAAAATATATTTTTAAAGGAAATCCTAAATTTACATGAACATACTTTTGTCCCGACCTTCAAGTTCAATGTCTCGTGTAATATTTGAAAACAGATTGAATTAGTAAACTTTTTTAGTCATAGTTTTTTTTTAAATAAAGCAAATTATTATATTAATATATATGAATCAAAATCCGTGTCATAATACATATATGAAAAATCGATAGTTTTCTTTTTACATGTTTCTATTATCCTAAATGTAGCAACAAAATATCTCTGGTTGGAATTTAACATATACTTTATAGTTAAACAAACAAAACAATTTTCTCAAGCACTTCATATTATATAAAACTCATTATAAATGCAACTCAAATTCACACTCCTAAGTCACCATACTACAAAAACAAAATTAAGTACTTTACTACTTGTGCAACTTGTCCACTGCATATAAAAATACATTTCCTTTCTATTAAAATCTTCATCCCTAAATACACATTTGTTTATAAAAATACATCTCCCTCCTTGTTAATATCCTTGTTATTAATAAAATACTAAAATCACTTGTTATTTAAAACTTTTCACGAAGTTAGAAGAAAAAAATATATATCTCTTAAACTGGTTTTTAAAATCACTCTTATAATTATTCAATTTTTTTAAAAATAGGTATGTTAATCGTGTGGGTCATGAGCTTTGCAGGCTAGCCCCAGGCTTGAGTCAATATATTCACCCTTACTCTCGTGAGATAGATCTTAATGATTGCAGTTCTTCATATGCTAAATTAATTGTATTAAGAGTTGGATGAATCTACTTTTCACCACCATGCATTGAGACATTTTCATTTATTCTTACTATTGTTTAATTTCCAACCGTTGAACAAGTTCCTCTTCCCACACAAATCTCTCCCTCCTCCCAAATCCACCTCTCCTCCACCCACCTTTCCATGCCATACACACTTTCACCTTAATATAATCGATTAAATGAAATCTTTAAGCACTCTTCATCCACCTAATATTGTGTCAAAAATTGGTATTCCTTCTAAAAAAATTAATTAATCAAACTATAAATAGGTTATATCAATCGACTTATTATTTCTTATATTATTTTATCCAAGTTAAAAATAAGTTTTTAAAAAAACTAATAAAAGGTTTTTTTTTTATAAATTTTTAGCTTATGCAAAAATTAATAAAAAAAAAGTTTTTGTAAATTTTATGTAAAAACTAATTTTAACTTTATTGAAAAATTTATTTTATTTTTTAAATTTATAATTATCAAACTTTATGAATTTTCTTCTTCATATATTTCAAATTATTATACGGAAACAAATCAAATTAATAATAAACAATGATTAAATGATCTATTAAAATTGATATCAACAAAAAATTTAATTGAGGATCTCAATTTTTCTTAATAACAAATTTTCAATAGACTTCACTATAAATCTTCTAAAATAGGTATTAATTAAATTAAATATCTTTAATTAATATCAACTCTAATCAATCACCATAAATATGATTGTATAAATAAACTATCAAGAGAAATCAATCACACACAATATATTAATAAATAATAATGAGTTAGTGCTAGAACTACCACTAACTCATTTTGCACCCTCTTGCACTTTCACTTGTTTGTCTCTCACATGGTCCTTACCACCCACCCCAACCATGTCACAACAACAAATATTATTGGTGTAAAGAGAAAATGAGAATATATACTAAGTGTTACACCATTCAATAATTTTATATTAAATGTAAATTTTGTAAATCCAACCGTTAGATTGAAATTTCATATCACTTTATAAGTGTATATCAAATTTCGTTAAAATTAAACAACAATTTAAAAGTGATCAAAGTGTTCATATTTTAGTATATTTTGAAATAAATATATTATGTCAATTTTGTTTTATAAAAATGAAGTATCAAATCATCTTGGATTAATATAAAATTTTGTATATATGATCTAAGAGATATAAACTTTCAATCTAACAGTTAGATTTACAAAATTCACATTTAATATAAAGTTATTGAGCGGTATAATACTTAATAAAAATTACACCGGTGTTATTATAACCTCTCTCTCTCTATATATATATATATATTTATATATTTATTTATTTATTTATGTTGTAATTTTAAGATTTTGAATTAAATGCGATGTCAAATTAACTTGTGATTATTGTGTTTTAACCTTATATTTCCAAACAAATATCAATTTAAATATTATCGCATTAATGATTAAGTTCTATTGAAATCTTGCACGCCTATCATTGAATATGGGGCAGTGGAAAATTGTTAAATGCTAATTTGAGATGGGTGCACCCTACTTGTTGGAAGTCCATATGTCAATTTTTTTTTTCAAGTTTAAGTTAGGTGTTAAGTACTTTATTCATGGATCATGATGGAAATGAATTTCGTGCATTTATAAATTCATAAATCCGGACAGTTTTATGAAAATTGGCCGGCAGAGAATCTGGATTTGGACCACAGTAAAAGCCACTTCATCAATGAAAAAAAAATATATATCTCGATGATCCATATTTAAATTTTCAATGTGTACTACTTTATCTTTTTATTTTCTTTTGAAAAAAAAATAGTCCTCTCTTTTCCTTTTCTTGTATTTGTCTTCTTATGTTTATGATGATAAAGACATGTAATTTGTCTGTGTGGTGATTTTCAGAGAAAAGACGGGGGTTTCTGTGACCACTATACTTGCAGTTTCCTTTAGATAAAGTGTTGGGAAAGGGGTTTTATTTTAAATTTGTTTGTGTAGAAACATTAAGCCTGTTGTTTAGAAAATAAAAAGTTTGCTTCAAGATAACTTACCTTCAAATCAAAGCAAGTGTTTTATTGTTTTTACATTTCATGCATTTGAAAGTGTAAACGAGAGTTTCAAACTCAACGTAAGTTAAATATGCTGTAAAGTAACTCTGACGTAGAAAAATCTGTGTCCAAAATAATGCAATCTCGTATGGAGAAGTGCCTAAATTTTAGATTATTCTTCAGGTAGTTAGCTATTGTATTAGTTATAGTTATTTTTCTGTTTTAATTTTTGTTTTGTGCATGCGGCAAGTAACATGTTTCAAAATCCTCTTATTTATTATATATATATATTACTAGTCGATTCATTTAATAATACATTTGTCAATATTGCATGCAAGTGCAAGAATTTTTTTTAATAATTTTTATTATTTATTATTTTCATTTTTAATAAACTATTAAACTCATATTGTATAGAGATGAAATCACTTTATTTTCTAAACAACCCACTATAATCGCCATACGATGTGAAATCACTATTACTAGTAACTAAAGTAACTAAAGTTAAGTTACTAGAACATACATGATTAATGGAAAAAAAATATACCATACATATATATAACATGAGTATATAAATAAAACAGCCAAACTAATATAAATAAGATATATATATAT